ATTATAATCTCGTTATGAAAGCTATTTCGCGAGAGTATAAAGTTATATCTAATGTTTATACACCTGCTAGGGCGCAAAGTGCTATCGGAGGCTTTGTTGAAATACCAAGTAAAACTGGTGGTAGACGTAAAATTGTTCCTGTAAATACTCGAGACTTTTATAACCTTTTTATTAAATCGAAATTTAAGTGTCCAACATCAACAGAATTTTGGTCAGAATTTTGCCCCAATGTGGCGTTAAAAGACGTTTTTTCAATTATGTATGTGCCATGCTTCCCACCAGATTGTATAGAACTGCATTTCAAAGTTGCCCATAATTCTATTTTTTCAATGAATAAATTATTGAAAATTGGTAAAGTTACAAGTGATGTTTGTCCTGTGTGTAATGTAGATACTGAAACGCTTCAGCATTTATTTCTTAACTTTCGAGACATTGGTGAATTATTTATTTTTCTTGAAGGAGTTCTTGTTAAATTATTATCTTGTGCTGATCCGTCAGATACCAGAGATATATCAGTTAACACAGTTTTATTGTTAGGATTTACTAGAAAAAATAAAAAATGTAATTGTTATTTCATTAATTTCTTTTTCGGCATTGTTCGGTTTTGCATATTTAAAAAGGCGGAATTTATACAATAATGATCTGCGCAATGTTGATATTTTAAAGTTTGTAAAATATACTATTACAAGATATTTTGAGTATGCAAAATTTTACTATCAGCGTAAAGATCGTAGAAAGCTATTTATGAAATATTTCCTTTCGGATAATCCCTTAATCAAAGGTGATCAAAGCTTTATTTACATTGTATCAGATTAATCACGTTTTTTACTCCGTATTTAGTATAATGTGTCATTGGTGAATGTTATGCAATATGTGGTTTGTGTATGTTTTACTGTAATGTAAATGTTTAGCGTGTGTATGTAATTAGTGAAGTTGATTTTAATAAAAGATAAAAAAAAAAAAAAGCACTCAGGACTCTAAATCCTGCGATCCGAGTTCAAGTCTCGGTAGAACCTGAAGGCATATACTCATTTTTACGGTCTTTCGAAGTTCAACGTTCATTTATCCGTTAAACTGAATCCGTCATCTTTTATGAATACAGCAAAATGTGAATTATAAACATCATTCTATTTTTAAAAATATACTATAACAAATTCATCTAATCATTAAATCGCCATCGAAAATTGTCATATCCATGCTATGTTATACTTTTCAAAAATGTTAACGCCCATGTAGGGACTCGAACCCTAGACCCTCAGATTAAAAGTCTGATGCTCTACCGACTGAGCTACACGGGCTTCTTGCACGGCGAAATACCCGATAATCGATTTGAAAATCTTACTCGCAATCAACACAAAAGAAATAGCGTATTTCAACCAATTGCATCATTCATAACATTCGTACCGCTCATAGCATATCTTTTATAAAAAAATTAGCAGCGGAAATATGGATTCACAACTTTGCTCTTGTAATATATCAAAGAGCTTTTAAAAAAGACGCATTAGCAAATAGCATCTTTATTACAAACTGAGAATTGTATACTACGACATAACAAAATGTTGAAGAAAACTACATCTCAGAGATGTTTCCTCCATCTTTCATTTATCGGTTATAAAAGGTGACTAAGGAAAAATGAACATGGAAAAAAAGAGATAAGACTTATTTGGTGGATGCCCTTTAAACACATACAATGTAATTTGATCAATATCATAATTTTAGTGTAGTAGTTGAGAGATTCTTGATGTGGTCCTGTGTGATTTGACCTCTATTCAGGCTTTCATTCAAATTTAGCAAAGAACTCTTCACTAAAATTGGTAAACTCATGTTAATATGGGATTTGTGGCGCTTCATATTTTCCCTTTTCTAAAGTTTGGAAATTAAGTTAGAGTTTACTGTTTAGACGGATCTCCTTTTGGAAAGCTCGTTATCACAGCAATTGGAAAAGTTCTTGCTATCAACACATGTTGATGTTGCACAGCTACTTCTCCGGTGTGAAATTTCCTGAAACGTCCGTACTTGTTTTGCTGTGACATTGTCGTCAAATTTCATAAAGGTGTTTAGAAATATATTCCAAGGTCAAAAGTGTAGTAGTTTGGTTAAAGTGTACCCTGAGAGTAATTTTATATTTAGATATGATGTTAAGAATGCCGTAAAAGTAATAATAATCAAAATCCGTCGCCCCAGTGTCGAGTTATTATAGCTCAAAGTTGTCGATTTTCACCTGTCCTCCCAGACCTAATCAGCCGAATCGTCATTTCCGCGGAATCGAGGCTCTTCTACTCGTGACGTCATAAGTTCAACAGAAATGGCAGTCAACATGACTGACAGTGACAACGACACCGCAACTGAGAGCGATTTGAGCATGATTTTTGAGGAGTCTGATTATGGTGTGAATGATATGTCTGAAGACGGAATCCAGCCCTACCGATTTGAACTGGAATTACAAGACGATGTATCCAGTGAGGAGGAAAATGATCCTTCGAAAAGTGACGATCGCTTGGGCAACATAGATTGGCACGTACTTCACTGGGTCTCACCAGTAGTCGTGAAAGTAGTCGAACAGTGAATCGTCGTTTCAAAGAAACAAAATAAAATTGGGTGTGGTTTTGGACTAATTTTACTATCTTCAAGTCTCGATCAACAATTTCTGACGTCGGGAAATCGCGTTTGTGCAAGACTATGCATGCATTCACGAGGTGTCGGGAATTTTCTTACCGAAGAAGTTTCGTCCGAGGGGAATTTTTCTTTCCAGGGAATTTTCGTAGCACTATGGATATATATAGATAGGGTGTCAACAACCAATTATAACACCCTCCGCTGTGTTAATAATAAAAATTTGATGTTTTAGAAGTTTAAACAATTATTTGACCGGTTTTTACCCTAGCACTGGTAGGGGTCTGTTGTTAGCCGACAGGCGTGTCGCCTCACAGGTGTCACAATTGTTTTTTCCAGCCACAGAGGTGCTAATTACCTAACCTGGCACAGGTGTGATTATGAGTTTAGATGACATCTCTACACTGTGAACTGTGTTTTCAAATCAAGATCGGTGATCTTATTGTTATTTTTACGATCGCAAAATTAATAACTAAACAACATCGTCTGCTGGAAGATCTAAAAACCAAATACACCTTATACAAACAACATACACACATAACCTATTCTATAAATTCTAATAATTCTATTCTATACTATATAATAGTAGTATGAAAATTCTCGGTGTGAAAATTCCCGTGACCCATTCACGACCAGGCCTTCTCTGAGTATTAGGCGTTCACCATTACGAAGGAATAATATTCCTATAACCGCCCAAGTCATAGGCTAGCCTATCAATTTAAAGTGTTTAGTTGTAGAATTAATAACAAAATACCAACCTAACAAATATACTTTTATTTAATCAACAATTAGTTTTATTTATCGACGTCATGCATCGACACCCCATCCGTGTTAGTGTTATGACAACCATACACACCGCTTCCCTCCTCGATAGGAAGCCATTTTAGCGGATTTAAGCGCTAATTCACCGACCCCTCGTTCACTACCTTAGATATTGCGAAGATGTGAAGTACTTTCACGTAAATAAACAAAGAAATTACCACGGAAAATCCCAAAATAGATCACAATCACATGTAGCACAGTAAAGACAATATGGCTGCATCAACAAAAGCGTTGAACTTATGACGTCACAGGTTTGGGTGCCCGAAAACGAGGTCAACGCCTCTCAGCCAAAGGTGTGTTTTTCAGAAAACTCGCAATTTCTCAGTAACGGAACATTCCACGGCATTCGCGTTTTCGGCATAGTGTATTTTATGTGCAGAACTATTTTTCAAGGTCAACATAGCTGACCTCTCAGGGTACACTTTAAAGATAGCGAAAGCACGCTATGGGCTTGTGCATGATATTCAGAGGGATAGTGAAAAACTACTAAAATGGGACCTTTTCTCGAAAATCCAGCTAATAACATCAGAAAATAAGAAATACGTTAAGACTCGATTAATAAAACTCGTATGAAAGAAAGAAACAGGAATCGATTAATAAAACTCGTATTGAAGATAAAGTCAGTTCAGACTTCGCTCGCATATACTTAAATATCATTCTATCAAAGCGTAAGAAAAAGTGAAAAAATAAATATTGCTTATTATTATGTCACGAAACAAAGTAATAACAATTAGGAAAAGACATCATTCCTTCATCCAGTCGTTCTTTGCTAGGTATTTAATTAAGAACGCGACTTGCTTTACCAAATGGTTCTATGGTGTAATGGTTAGCACTCAGGACTTTGAATCCTGCGATCCGAGTTCAAGTCTCGGTAGAACCTGAATAGAACAAAGTGTTCCTACTGGTTTTAGCTTTTGTCACATTCATAGTAATAAGCAAATATAAAGAAAATCATCTTCAAAGAATCATACGAAAACACATTGCATGTGCATTGTGTGTTGGCTGGCTTATCACCAAAACACAAATCTACCACTTGATTGTATCAAGACGGTTCTATGGTGTAATGGTTAGCACTCAGGACTCTGAATCCTGCGATCCGAGTTCAAGTCTCGGTAGAACCTGAAGGCATATACTCATTTTTACGGTCTTTCGAAGTTCAACGTTCATTTATCCGTTAAACAGAATCCGTCATCTTTTATGAATACAGCAAAATGTGAATTATAAACATCATTCTATTTTTAAAAATGTACTATAACAAATTCATCTAATCATTAAATCGCCATCGTATATTGTCATATCCACCCATGAATGAGTTTAACCACATATTTCTTCATGTAAAACATCAAGAAGTAACTTTTTCTGCGTTTCGTTAGTATAGCAGAAAAATATTGTCTGTAAGTTTTTATTGCCATATATAGTATAGGCGTAGGCTGATGAATATGCATTAGGCCAAATAGGCGAGTAAGGCATTTTGCACGTGGTTTTCGTTGTACTGAGTCAGGTATACAGGTGTATTGTATAGGTGGGGTCATTCTAGCCTTGGACAGCATATCGTACAGGCTGTTTTTTATTTTCACTATGGAGCCGGCAGACGTCAGCGAAATAGTTAAACAACAAGTGGAAGAGTCTCAAAATTCATTTTTATCTCGTTTAGAGACTTTAGTGTCGAATAAATTGAACGTTTTCCAGCAACAACTACATGAAAATCAGAGAGAACTGAGCGACGCACAAGTGGCAAAGATTCAACTCATAAATAATGAAGCCCACAAGTTCAATAAGAAAGGAAATGAGGAGCAATTCAAATTAAACTCGAGGGTCTCTCAGAAACTCAGAGAAGCGGACGCTATTCTAAAAGAAGACAGTAATACTCGTGATGCTACTACAGATGCACAGGACAAGATTTCCGAAGGTTTAACTATGTTAGAATATAGACAGAAATTGATAAAGTTGGCCGATAGTTCCGAGTTCGGCTGGAAGACAGTGAAGGAATATGAAGCTAATTCCATAGCTGATAATTCCGATGACGAAAAGAAAATGGTGAAAGCAGAGAATAGAGCTCAACGGAAAATAAAAGTTCAGATGGGCACCAGGAGACGTTTTAATCGAACGCACCCCTACGCACCGGAAACTCACAGGACTCAAGAGAACACAACTTCCGGAAACACAACAACAACAAGGAGGCCTGGGTTTTGTTTTGCCTGCGGGAAGCCGGGGCATTGGAGGGCTGAGTGTAAAGAGCTGGTCAGAAGTGGCAATCAAGTTGAAAAGATGAGTATAACTAATGTATGTTTAGATGATGAAAATATGAAAAATGGTTCTATAAAGGAAATGAATGATCCGGTAATTCAGACACCGGTGGGTAGGTTGAGAACAGCTAAGAGACCATTGGGTTGATATAGGAGCAATCGATGAAATTATAAAGGTTATCGAAAATGGTTATAAGTTACCTTTCCATACATTGCCGGAGAGCGTTGATTTCAGAAATAATAGGTCAAGTTTGGAACATGGAGATTTTGTTGAGGAAGAGATTAACAAATTATTGTTGAACTTACTGTTCAAGCATCTAATTTTATAGATATATTGCTTAATGATTATATTAATCTCATTGTCGATTTTACTATACACAAAAAAAAGCTAAACAAAATGGACTCTTTGTTGAAGTACACGATTTGTTAGAAGAACAAATTTAAAGTTTTGAACCATTTCACATTCCCAGAAGATATGATTGATAGTTTTGTTTCAGAAACAGAATTACAGAATGGACTGTCAACTATTGCTTTAAGAATAGAGTTTGTTATTACCATATAATGAAATTTGTTGAAACCACTGGAAGTTAGAATTATTTGTTATTTTAAAAGGTAATAAAGATATTAGCCCAGATATTTTCAAAATTTAATTGTTTGGCCCACTTTTTCCTTCACCAGTGGGAATTTCATTGTTTTCCACAAAACATTGATACAAATCATTAGTGCCTTTTAATTTAGAGAAGAAAGGTTCTATGCTACAAGGGATAAATGGCAAACAGAAATCAGAGTCTAAAATTCTCTGCAAGTCAATATTATTCCGAATAGAGTTCAACAGCCCTTGAAATCTAAGAAAGTTTGTTTTTAACCCATATTTCTCAATAAATTCATTAAAAGAATAAAAAGTAATTGTACTTTTATCTTTAATCATATCATTTACCACCCTTATTCCCTTAGTGAACCAATCTTTATAAAAAACAGATTTCCCACCAATAGTCAGCTGTGGATTATACCATAGAGGAGTTTTAAGAGGAGACTGCTGTCTACCTTTCTCTTTAGACTTCAATATCAATAATTGCTCCCATGCCTTAAAAACATCACACCAAAACTTATTTTTACATTTTTCTTTACAAATCTTAAAATAATCACTTCCACAATTCATAGCTATGTCATTATTTAACAGTCTAGAAAATAAAATTTTCCACTTGCTCGTAGATGGACTTAAAAATCTCCGGAGCCAACCTAATTTCAGTGCGCTAATAAAGGCTTGAATGTTAATCATCTTTAAACCACCTTCAGAAAAATTCTTGGTGATGATATTTCTTTTCACCTTATCAGTTTTCCCACCCCACAAGAAATTGAAAAGGGTTGTATTTAGTGAATTAATGAAAGTAGTATTTGGATTAGGAAGAGCAATAAATAAATGATTAAATTGAGAAATTAAAAGTAACTTTATGATTTGTATCTTTCCTATAGGTGTCAATATTCTTCTACTCCAAGCCTTGATCAAAGATTTTAGTTTAATTAGTTTTTTGTCAAAATTCATTTTAGGCATTTCGTGCAGATTTACACTAAAATCAATACCTAATAAAGTAAATTTCTCTCTCCCCCACTGTAGATTTAATTCCGGAAAAAAAATATCTGTACTAAATTTTTTATTGCCTATCCATATTACCTGTGTTTTGCTTGTATTAATTCTTAATCCAGAGACACTTGCAAATAAATTCAGCTCAACAATAGATTCACCCAAAGATTTTTCAGACCCGTCAAGTATTAGGGATGTATCATCGGCATACTGTGAGAGAAGAATGGGGAAGTTGCATACATTATACCTCTTATGTTTTTGTTATTTCTTATTCTAATAGCTAAGATTTCAGTGCATAATATAAAGATATAGGGTGCGATTGGATCGCCCTGTCGGCAACCACGCTTGATAGTGAAGAAATTTGACAAGTTCCCCCCTTGATTCACTGCTGAACTAACATTTCTATGAAAAGTTTTCACCCACTTCCTAATACCCTCCCCGAAGCCAAAAAAGTTAAGCGTTTTATCTATAAATTCCCATGCCACTGAATCAAAGGCTTTTTCAAAGTCAACTATTAGGAGCATTCCAGGTATATTATTTTCCTCAGTAAAGTTCATTATATCGTAGATAAGTCTAGTGTTTTCACCGATATAGCGCCCAGATAGAAATCCTGTTTGGTCATTTTCAATAAGTTTACCTAGAACAGATTTTATTCTATTTGCTATAACCCCCGATGCAATTTTATAAACAATATTCAAAAGTGAAATGGGGCGCCAGTTTTTTAAAAAGTGTCTCGGTTTGTCTCCCTTAGGTATACAAGTGATAATTCCTTGTCTTTGTGTGATAGAAAGTTCATTAACTGAGTATCCAAAATTTAGTGACCTAACAATAAAAGTACCTAGTTGTTTCCAGAAGCATTTAAAAAATTCTGTAGTGAAGCCATCAGAACCAGGACTCTTGTTATTCTTCATTTTACTAAGTGTTTTACCTGCTTCTTCAAGTGTAATATTACCTTCTAGTGATTCTGATTCTATATTGTCTAATTTTGGAACATTAAAATCATTCATAAAATCTTCCAGATTAACATCAGATATATTATCTGAGACACCATATAATTTCTCATAAAAATCATGAACTTCAGTTAGAATTGCACACTGATCTGTAATTAACACCTCATCTTTCTGAACTTTGGGAATTATTTTTGAAGTATAATTTCTGTTTTCTAGGCCAAAAAAATATGATGTGGATTTCTCCCCTTCCTCTACCCATTTCGCCCTTGATCTGATAATATTTCCTTGTATTTTATGTAACCTAATTATCTCTAGTTCTTTTTTCTTATTCATCAGTTCAACTATGTCCATGTTTTCACTATTTTCTAATTCCTCTATAGACTTCTTTAGACTTTCTTCTCTAATATTCTGCGTTTTTTTCAAATAACTTGAGTAAGAAATTGTTTTTCCCCTAATTTCCATCAATAAGACTTCTAAAAACAACTGATCATCAATACTAAAGTGTAAATCTGAATCTGACATTGTTAAGATAGAATCTAAATTATAAACAGGTAAACAGTATCTGACTTTCATATCTTCAATACAGGTCTTAACCAGTTTCAGGTATTCCAAATCATTTAAGAGTGAGTTATTGAATTTCCATAACCCCTTTCCTTTTTTGAATTTATTAAACTTTAAGCTGATTTTAGGAATTGAATGATCTGATTTATATCCTGGCTCTATAGAAGAATTTACGCAACTGGATAACAAACACTCAGACACAAGAAAAAAATCAAGTCTAGCCTGTTTAACCGGATTAGTCCTTCTCCATGTGTATCTTCTAGAAAATTCATGATGTTCTCTAAAAATGTCTACTAAACCATAGTTTTCCATGAGTTCACCTACCTTTTCTCTTGCCTTAGGGTTATTTACATTTTTGTAGGTATTATCATAATCTATTTCTGGTTTTAAAACTAAATTAAAATCACCACAAATAATAACATCAGAGTTTCCTAGTTCCTCAACAACATCAACAATATTACTATAAAAGCCTGGATTATCCTGATTTGGACCATATATAGTTATGAGAGTAATTCTTGAACCTTCAATATTCATATCTAGGGCCAGAAAATTACCAGTATCATCTTTCTTTTCCTTATTAACCTTATATTCAAAATTATTATTTATGAGTATAGCTACACCCCTAGCATTGGACTTATAGAAATTAAAATAACACTCATACCCCCATTCACTTCTATAGATGTTTTCTTTATCTTGAGTGAAATGAGTATCCTGTAGACAAAATATATTACATGATTTACTTCTCAAGTAAGAAAAAACGTCTTTTCGTTTTACCCGATCCCCAAGACCCTGACAGTTTGAACTCAAAATCGTTATGTTATCAGCAGTATGTAGTAATAGACAAAAAGTAAATATAAGGTGTAACCCCAATCATTTTCCCGAAGCGAAACTTTGCCCATTTTCGTCAGAAGAAAACAGAACAGAAAAGAGACAGAAAGAGAGGAGAAAAGAAGAATAAAAAGTATCACAAAGGTCTGAGTCAAGACAACTTTACGACTCCGCGCCCTGAAGCAAAACAGTTAAGAAAAGTTTACCAGGCAAGACTCGTGCACAGGAACGGGAACGAGGTACAAACAGGAAGTAACCATTTCTACCGGAAGTACTATAGTAAAGATGGAAAAAACTAAGGTTATAATCCGTATTCTCCTGAAACTAGTGGAGAAAAAAAAAAAAAAAAAAACGGGTTCAGATTTTGAGTAAATCAACAAAGTAACAATAGAAATAAAATAAAATAATTGAATCCACTGATACAAAAATTATGAAAATGTATAGCGGACCGATAGTTAGTGAAGAGAGAAAGGTAGAGGGAAAAAAGAGGACGTGTTAGCCTAGCTAGTAACGATTACTGTATATGGATCATCTTGTTACACTTATTGTGTAACGATAAACAGAAAAATATGACATACCTTAAATATCGAATTCCTTAATTCCAAGGTATAATTTCCAAGGGAACTAACACACATAAATTATATCACAACACACAAATATTATATCACAACACATGCACCTAGATCACGACTAATCGGTAACCGGGTAATTCCCGGAAAGGTCCATTACCGATTTAGCGCGACGCGATCAAACACATTGTCACTTACGAAAAATCGTCCCTTCTGGATCGTCTGAAATTCTCGTCCTTCATAAGGAAATCGTCAGTGAGAGGAATATCAAAAGAAAGCCTACGCTTTCTACCGTCCATTAGAATAGCATACAGCTTGCCGTCTATACTATAAGTATTTTTCACACAATTAAGTCTGTATGCCTCCTTAAGTCGATCCTGGTTATACTTAGTCAAGTCCTCGAAAACAGTCACACCGGAACCCTTTAACACTCGCCTGGCCTTCATGATCTCATGCTTTTTCGTCCTATGCGTGAACTTCACAATCACATTTCTGTTTTTTCCACGAACGAGTCTGTGGGTAATGTCAATATCTTCTTCCCTGAGTGGAACATTCAGCCTAGAGTTGACAAATCTCACAACACTTTCCTTACATTCATCGACAGTCTCTTTTTCCGACGGATCCTCTAGTCCGAAAATTCTAATTGAATTTTTTCGTC